AAAGTGCAACGTTCTCGACTGTTTCCTCGAAGAACAAACAGGAGCATGCATTCATGCTTTTAATTTTTTCTTTTAAAACGCCCAAAATTAAATCTTTAAAGGTCCCATATTCTGTAAAATCCTCTTCCCCATGTTCCTCTAGTCTGTCTGCAAACCCCCCAGTGATGAGAAAAGTCCATCCTCTCCGTCTTTTGCCTGCTCCACTTTTCAGAAAATGTGTGCGCAAACAGGCCGTTTGGAGATTTTCCCTTCATGACATCACAAAGGGCAGTAACACTCCCACAGCTAGGTGTTTGTTCTGCCCTCTGAGTCTGCCTTCTCACCGTAAACAATAGGACATGGAGCGAGAAAGACCGAGTACACCCGAGCCCTTCCAGAGAGGGGGCGTGGTCAGACACAGCTCATTTACATATTTAAAGGTACAGACACAGAAACAGCCTGTTCTGAGCAGGGCTGAAATAGAGGGGTTTATAGACATGATCAAATACAGGATCAGAGTGGATTTAGAACAAGAAACTTCACACACATGTTAAAGAGGAGCTCTGAGACTTATTCACACTGAAGAAGAAGAGGAGGAATGTCACCTTTAAATAAACTCATTTTGACCTGGACTGTGAACGCTCTTTCTCTTGTGTGTGTGCAGGGTCAGGTCCAGATGTGGGTGGACATGTTTCCCATGGACTTACCTCATCCGGGACCTTCTGTGGATATTTCACCCCGAAAACCAAAAGGGTGAGAGCTGTCTTCTATCTTTACACGAACACTGTGTAAGACATTAAAAACCATAAATCCAAAGTGAAATGCAGGGACAGCCTGTTGAACAAGTTCAGTGTTACGAGTACTGGGTAATGTCATGTATGTCCCTGTGTTTTCTATATGGGGGGGGGGGGGGGGGGGTTAAAGGTCAGACTAAACCTGTGGGACTTGATGCATCTGTCAGTTACTGGAGGGAGTTCAGGAACCATGAACTGGTCGACTAAGGGCCTGAATGTGTGTCTTCAGGTACGAGCTGCGAATCATCATCTGGAACACAGAAGATGTGATTCTGGAGGACAGCAACTTCCTGACCGGTCAACAGTCCAGCGACATCTACATCAAGGGGTGAATATATAAACCGCCTCCGTCTGATACGAGAGCAGATATTAGTCACTTCTTCATGTTTTTCGTCTTCCTCTGCAGCTGGTTGAAAGGTTTGGAGGACGACCGACAGGAGACCGACGTCCACTACAACTCTCTGACGGGAGAAGGAAACTTCAACTGGCGCTTTGTTCCCTTTCTTTTACATGCCGGCTGAGAAGGTACCGACCAGCTGACAGACGCACACACCAGGTGTACTTGGTTTCTTTTGAAAACATGACTATTGTTAAATCTCTCTGACAGGTCGTGGTGGTGAGGAAGAGAGAGCATATTTTCTCTCTGGATAAAACCGAGGAGAAGCTTCCTGCCATCCTCAATCTGCAGGTCTGGGACTTCGAGACGCTCTCCTCTGACGACTTCCTTGGTGTGACTTTATTTTTTACAGCTCTCCACACGATCTGTAAATATCTGTTCTCCACTGATTTTTAAGCGTTTGTGTATTCAGGCACGGTGGAGTTAGACCTGCACGGTTTCCCTCGTGGGGCAAAGACGGCCAAGGTGTGTAAGGTAGACATGTTGACGGACGGGACGGAGAAAATCTCCATCTTCCAGCAGAAGAGAGCGAGAGGCTGGTGGCCCGTCAGCAAGTCTGGAGAGCTGACGGTGAGTACAGCAGACACACCAACAACTTCATTCAGAGCGGAGAACATTTGGTGACACTTCATGACGGTCATGACTCTGTCTCCTTCAGGGGAAAGTGGAGGCGGAGTTTCATCTTGTGACGGCTGAGGAGGCAGAAAAGAATCCAGTTGGACGAGCGAGAAAGGAGCCGGAGCCGCTGCCGAAACCAAAGTAAGAGCCTGAAGGAGATCGTTCATCCAGTCCACCGTTTGATCCTTTTATTGTGTTTCTTTGCATCAAACAACGACTTCAACAGTTTCCTTTGTCACATCACAGCAGCCCTTCACAATGTGCAACAGCGTTTTAGATAAGCTCCGCCTTCATTGTGCTTTAGGACAGTTTTATTGATTCTGCAATCGGTGTCCCAGTCTGTGAGTTCTCGCTGCCTTACAGGGTTGTAGAAGCGCGAGAGAGAGAGCACGGCGTAGTGGGCGCTCCACATACACACACAGCGCTGTGCTCCCCCGCTGCATCAGCTGATCCTGTCTCTCCTCTGTAACGCCTCTGAAGACACTACGGGGGGGGGGTCACTTCGTCCCCCATTGCGCCTTTAAGACATTCAGGTTGAAGGCGAAATGTCACAGGGGTGTAAATATCACGGCTTGAAACGGCGCTCTGAATTGGGTTTATGAAGATCTACCTCAAAGGTCCCAACAAAACAACCTGCTTACTTTTTTGTGCAGATTCAACAAATGTCATGCTTTTATTTTAGCTTAGAGGCACTGGAACAGAAAGGTTCCTCTTTGTACAAAGCAAAACTTGTCCTGGATTTCAGTCTGCTAAGCTAAGCAGAAATGACCTTCGAGAGGAGGCTCCGACTCAATGGGTAGCAGTAAAATAACGGCCCCTCGATTGTTGAAGTGGGCTAACTGACTTCAAATCTGTCCAGTGTGTACCCCGATTAAAAAGTTATCAAAAACAAAACTGAACGATCTTTTCTCCCCTCTTCATCCCGCAGTCGCCCAGACACGTCCTTCTCGTGGTTCGTCAATCCATTCAAGTGTTTCTTCCACCTCATCTGGAAAAACTACAAGAAGTACATCATCATCGGCCTGGTGCTGCTCATCACAGCGCTGTTCCTCGCCCTGCTGTTCTACACACTGCCCGGCGCCATTTCTCAGAAGATAGTCAGCGGATAACACACACACACACACACACAGACACACACACACACACACACACACACACAGACACACAGACACACACACACACACACACACACACACAACACACACACACACACACACACACACACACACACACACACACACACACACACACACACACACACACACACACACACACACACAACACCACAACACACACACACACACACACACACACACAACCCACACACACACACAACACACACACACACACACACACACACACACACACACACACAGTAGTTTTAAACATTTTAAACTTTGTGCCTGTAAATAAGAAAGTTCCTGTTTCTACAGATCTTTAGATGTTTATTTACACCGAACAGGTCATCAGGTGATTCAAATCATTGGTTTGTTCTGAGTTAAACTTCAAAACAAAAGCATTTTTCCAGGGAACACCTGCAGGTGAGAGGTCACAGAGGTTACATGGTAACATCTCCACCTTTATCCCACATCGTTCTTTAAGCTGTTTACATCAGGAGTGTTTAGCTTCGATCCCAGTTTCCAGTCATGCTAACTCTCGTGACCTTCATCCTCTCGGTGTGTTTGACTTGTTTACAGATCGCAGAATGTCCACAAACATATAAGAGGCTGTGTGTTGTTGTTTACACACAAAGAACTCAGAATAATATATCAGCTTATTCCACATGTTTTCATTAGAAACGCTACATTCTGAATATCCTCATGACCTGTTTTAAATCATCTCATTCTTAGTGTGCATGTTCTCTTAGTGTCTTTTTATTCCACGCTAACGGGAATACTTCTCAGGTTATTTCCTCGTGTACTCATTAGACCAGGTTCAGGCGTTCATATGATTTACATTAAAACAAAAGAGAGTCCACTTGACAGTCCCTCCAGGATTCGCTGTGTTTTTATTGCTGCAGCGTAAAATTATAAATTATGACTGAGCGCCCGACGGCTCAGCTTGGATAAAAATAAAAAGGCATTTACAAATTCAAAATGTGCACACAGATTTGTAATCTGTAGGAATGAAATAGGCTGGTTGAAGAAAAGTGCATGCTCACATAAAGGCTGGGATTGGTTGAATTTGCTGCATGGTAACGTTGCAACTTCCTGGACGGACTGACTCACAGAAATCCACCACGCAGTGAAACTCTCGGTCCGACATTTAAAAGACATTCACCTGCCGACTAAAAACTACGACGACGGTTCGTCTGCATGGCGCCGTGTTTCATTACCATCACATAAAATCCACTTTGAAATACATGAACAGTAACCATGTGCAGACAGATACAGAGGCTCTTATTTTGAAGGAGTCCACATTTATATATCAGTAAAAGCTTTAAAATGCAAAGCGATAACGCTCAGGTCGGTCGATGTGATTCTGAATGTTTTGAAGTGTTTTCAGTATCTGAATTCATCACACTTGATGTAGTTTGATCAACAATAAATGTTTTGTGTAACTGAGTCTTTTAATGTTGAGTTCTGTACAGACTGTTGAAGATTCAGGGACTTTTAGTTTTAACATCGTGGAGTGAAACTTTGTGATCTGGGCTCAGTAAAGAATATGAAGCATGCAGCCTCTCAGACTCTTATTGTGTTGAGACACCACACCAAATACTTCAAGCACAAACTGTTTACTACTGAGTCTACTTACTGCAAACACAAACAAAGATGTCTGCTCGTTATATCCTGCAGGAGAGTCCGACACCTCCTGAACACGTCTCTCATTTTAAACACGGCACTGGATGATATCTGAGTCTATCAGAGAGATGTCGTGCTGTGATAGGCCGATCTGCTGCGGGTATGACGATGATGATGTGACAGTGTGCTGATGAAGAGCCATGCTGGAGCCGCTCAGGTGGAGAGCAGAAGACGAGGAGGAGGAGGAGGAGGAGGAGGAGGAGGGTATGAAGGGTAGACTGTTGTTGAGGAAGCTGCTGGACGGAGGCAGCAGGGAGCTCTGTCTCTGCTGAGCGCTGGAGGACGCAGCTGAAACAAGACACAATTATCGGTTAAAAAAAAGTGAAGCAATGAACGTCACCTGGATGGAAAAATATCAACTCAACGTAAACGCTTAATTACAGCCAATCTCTGGTTCTTTATCTGAACAGATCCAGCTTTACTGTAATGTTTGAAATAGTCTGAAAATGTAATATATCCACGACACAGTTTCCTTTATTTTCATGTTAAGCTCTTTGCACACTGAGTCTGTTTTTTTCAGCTCACCCCAAAAACAGTTCAGGAAGATTTCAGGACTTTAAATGCATGCCTGAAAAATACATGTGAAGCATTTTATTTACTGCTGGCTAAGAGTTCATGGCCCTCCACGGTGATTTCCAGCATGCAATCCCTCGCATTCGCTTCCCTTTCGACCTCATTTTTCCACCTTTTGTCTGACTTCTTCTCGTCTACCGGCCATCACCAGTATCGGACACAGCACTTCTAACATTAAGTCCAGACTGAGTCTCCTCTTACCACAAGGCTCTCTGAGCTGCTGCTGCTGGCTGCTGATGGGAAGCCATTCGGAGAAAGACCTACAGCGCCACCTTCAGCCTGAAGAGAGAGAGAGACACAAAATAAGAACTTAGTCTGTCAGGAGGGAAGTCGCTGATACCTGAGAACTCCTGAGAGAGGAGCACTGAGGTCTGTAAGAAGAACCATTGATTCAAAAACTAAAACCATGTAGTGGAAACGGTCCAATCAGGTCATGAACTGATCAGGAAATCTTAAAAAAGGATCTAGTGAAGGTATCGAACCATAAAACACCTCGCACAGCAGGTTAATTAACAGACAGCTCGGATCTAAATCTTTGAAATGTTGTATGCACATCACTTTCTACCCGAAAATACATTAAGAGACAACCGACCAGTGTACCACTGAGCCACAGCCGCCTGGGTTAGAACCTTGCTTGTGTCAGGTGACGGTTTTTATTCACCTGAATCTGGTTCAGACCCGCCTGGAGTTTCCTCTTCGCCCTCCATCTGGCGACCCTCAACCTGGTCTTCTCTCGACGCTCTCGCACCTTCAACATGACAAAATCGTAAAACACAATAAAACACAACAACAATAAGACACTTTGTTAAACTCTGAGACTTTAAATGTGAGACTTCGACCACGAGACGCTGATCAGTAACTCACCAGGTCGGCCAGCAGAGCTGAGGCAGCATCTTCTCGAGCTCCCGTCGTCTGTTCAGGTTCATTCGACGGAGTTCGTTCCTGCGCATCTTGTACTCTTCATAAAGGCTGAGGTCGTTGGTCCAGGGATGTTGATCTGACTGGCGAGGGGGGATGATGGGCTGAAGGGAGGACGCCGGCGTGGGCATCAGATCTGAGAACGAAGGCACAGAAAGGTTTGAAGTTGTAAGGTTTTTCAAAGAAATTAATGATTCTGAAATCTTTCCACACAGATCTACTCACATGAGTTTGTGCTGAAGGCTGAAATTTGACTCCTTTGGTTTTCTTGATGTTCTGACCAATCAGAGCTTTTGATCTGAAGGAAAGACAAAGAAGGAGTCATTCTTCTGAAGAGATTGTTTCTGGATTTAAATGCCTGACACAAATACCTGAGTGCACTCAAAGCAGCAGTATGTAACTCTGACCCCTAGTGTTTAAAATGGGTACTGCAGTCTAAATTCTAAACATCATAGAGAGCTGTCTCCCCCCCTCCTCCTCCTCTCTAGAGTGGATGTTCACTCAGGTCACCATGTGGTGGACTCTGAAGCTTCAGTGTTTATCCAGCTCTGCATGGGTCTGTAAACCTTTCTGTGTTCTAACCTCTCTCCATTTTTCAAAAGCATCTCCAATATTGATCCTAGTTTGAGCACGTTTCTGCTTGTGGAGCTTATTAGAAACATGCAGAGGCTTTTTAGGTCGGGTACAATCACTTCTATCTGAACCACTTCTCTTGACCGCTTCCATCTCTGCAACACCTGTTGACCTGATAACTGCTCTCATATCTGACAAACCGAGGGGCGTCCAAAACGCCGTGTGGGGGGATCTTAAAAGCGCCTACCTTCTCTGGTCCAAACAAATCCAGAGCATTCAGGAGCAGAATCTAAAGTTAGAAGGAGGACATACTGGCTGCTGCATGTTTCCTTAATGATCAGATAGTAAGATACCTTTATCATCTCACTCTCTACACATCTCACTGGTTGGGGTTTAAATTATAATATTCTACAAGTGGTTGGGGTGAATAGGCAAAGCAGGACTAACAAAGACTTTCTGACACTGTGCAGAAACATTCCTTTAACAAGTCAGTGAAACTTATTTGTTTTGTAACACGACACAAACGCTTCATTCAAGCTTTACCTCGGACTCTGGAGGATGACTCTGCTGCTCCTGGCTGTCCAGCAGCAGGGCAGCTGTCACTTCCTGTTCCTCCTCTGGCTCCTCTTTAATGCAGATCACCTCCTGCTGCTGCTGCTGCTGCTGCTGCTGCTGCTGCTGGGGCTCCTGCTTCACCTGCAATAAAAAACAATGAGAACAAGAATGACTTTCTGAAATGGATGATTTCTCTCTGATCTTCAGCATTTCTTTCTCCCTCTGCGTCCTCATGCGGTCCTTCCAAACTCATTCAGAGAGGTAGCTTTTGATTAATTCACCTGTGGGGCAGCAGAGGGCAGAGTGGAGCTATGCGTGGGTGGATCCATCCGGGGACAGAGAGCCAGCTCCTCCTGACTGCTGCTGCTCAGAGTCCAGATTTAGAGTCTGGACATGAGGAGGGTCCACGACATCGTCCGCAGCTTCTGTGAACGGCTCCACGGTGATGCTCCACTCACAATCCTCCTGATCGTCATCCTGGCTCCGAGGCGTGTCTTGCTCGGTGGGAGAGAACAAAACTGCACAAAGATAACACATGAATTCAGTCTCGTTTTTTTAACCTCCTAAATTTAACTGAAGCATTTCTCTTTCACCTCCTTACTTTGTTTATTTATTGAAAATGTTGTTTTAGATGTTTATCCTTAGATTTGATGGCGTTTAAAGTAGAAGTCACAGTTTTGTACAAAGCATGCAGAATGTGAAGATACACAAACACTTCAGCCCGTTACCTGTGCTGCTGTCCACAGACTCTGCAGGTGTGTTCATGGGGAGCAAGGCCGCCAGCTGCAGCTCAATCGGGTCTGAGGGGGAAACTTCTGAGTGACAGCGAGCTTTGGCTGAACGCCTCCTCTTGGTGTGTGGAGACGGGAATTCTGGGAGTTTAAACAAAGAAACATACAAGAAGAGTAGCATGTGGGCTAATTTTAAATGAGCGTTTAAGCCAAATTTAACTAAAGAAAAAATAAGGTAGGTCTCTAGGAGCTCAGGTGAGTGTATATCAACAAAATCCAAACACAGGTAAGTTTAAATAATAATAATTGTATTTCACAAAAATACTTTCAAACTGGATGTTTATGATAAGTGGGTTGAGCTCTGATTGGTCGATAGATTTTAGCGGAGTTCAGGTGAGATTATGATATGTTAGGAAAGAAATAGGGAAATAAATAAATAAATACAAAATAAAATGAAAAACGATTAATATAATTTATGGAGGTTCACTGAGGTCACTCCCTCTCAAAGAAAAAAAATAGAGGGCTAAATCAAATTCAATTAACCTGGGTTAAATAAGACTACTTGAAATTCTGCTCCATGATCCACTTCTGCATGACCGTTAGTATTTTAAACTAGAGCTTTAATATGATGTTATATTTGTTTGGATGTCTACAAATAAAGATTTGTAGTCTTTGACGTAACTTTAGAACTACATTAACAGTAAAGCATCTCTGTGCTCATCACCTTGATTGTTTCTGCTCAGTGGGCCGTCGTTGGTCCTGGTCTGAGTCGAGCATGATGGAGAGGTCTCCGAGGAGGAAACGCCCGCACCGCCTCTCTGTGAAGGAAGATACGACGACGGATGGATACGGACCAGATTGGACGACGTGGCTCTCTGCTGAAGCTCCTCCTCCACTCCCTGGCGGTAGTACTTCAGCTTCAGCTCCGTGTAGCGCAGCTTGGCTTTAATGTTGTCGTTCTCTTTCTCTTTGAGGGCCTTCTCCCTCTGCAGCACCGTGATGTCCCTCTTCATGTGAGCCACTTGGCCTTTTAGTTCCTCAAATTTAACTCCGACCACTTTGAGCATCTCAGCCAGCACCGTCTCCACCGCTCCGTTCACCGCCTGCTCCACCACGGTGCCCATCTGACCTCGAATCAGTGACACGGCGATGCTGATATCCATAATGAACAGATCTCTGACCCACAGACCACTGCAGAAGGTTCCTTAAAAGTTGAACCTGCAGGAAAGAAGAGAAAGCATTTAGGTCTAAATAGACAGCGAGGCAGTGAGAGAAGCTTAACGTCTTCACTCTGAGAAACTAACACAAGAGAGATACTCTGTGCTCACAGAGCGCCAGCTGAAGGTGCAGTATTTAGGACTCTGTTGCTGCATTCTGAGAACGCACAGAGGCAGAACGGGGCATAGTCGTTCTCCGCCTGATCTGACGTGGTAACAGAGGCGTGACAAGAAGAAGACTGGACCTACACATTCAATATTCATACACCCAATCACACACAACAAACACGCCGCTCCCACCACGGCGTCCTCCATATCTTCAAAGATGTTGACTAAGTGATGTCGCTACAAGCCTGTAGCCCCTTCCCCCTCACACCTGAGTGACAAATGTCTCAATTCCGGAGAGAGATGATGAAGAAACCTTAAAAAGACAGAACCCCAGCAGCGCTGTAATGAAATGTTAAATGAGACACTCGGACACCAACATTACGCTGCTGCAGGTTCAATGTAAAAGTGAAAAGGGGGAGTGATTGCGGCGCTTGGTTATGATGTGTTGTCACTGCTTCTTTCGTTTAGATGTTTAGATGTTTAGATGTTAAGATGTGAAGACGTTAAGACGTTAAGACGTTAAGACGTTAAGACGTTTAGACGTTAAGACGTTAAGACGTTAAGACGTTTAGACGTTTAGACGTTAAGACGTTAAGACGTTAAGACGTTTAGACGTTAAGACGTTTAGACGTTTAGACGTTAAGACGTTTAGACGTTAAGACGTTAAGACGTTAAGACGTTAAGACGTTAAGACGTTTAGACGTTAAGACGTTTAGACGTTTAGACGTTAAGACGTTTAGACGTTAAGACGTTTAGACGTTTAGACGTTAAGACGTTTAGACGTTTAGACGTTTAGACGTTTAGACGTTAAGACGTTAAGACGTTTAGACGTTTAGACGTTAAGACGTTAAGACGTTTAGACGTTAAGACGTTAAGACGTTAAGACGTTAAGACGTTAAGACGTTAAGACGTTTAGACGTTTAGACGTGAAGACGTGAAGACGTTTAGACGTTAAGACGTTTAGACGTTTAGACGTGAAGACGTGAAGACGTTTAGACGTTAAGACGTTAAGACGTTTAGACGTTTAGACGTTAAGACGTTTAGACGTTAAGACGTTAAGACGTTAAGACGTTTAGACGTTTAGACGTTTAGACGTTTAGACGTTAAGACGTTTAGACGTTAAGACGTTTAGACGTTAAGACGTTAAGACGTTTAGACGTTAAGACGTTTAGACGTTAAGACGTTTAGACGTTTAGACGTGAAGACGTGAAGACGTTTAGACGTTAAGACGTTAAGACGTTTAGACGTTTAGACGTTAAGACGTTTAGACGTTTAGACGTTAAGACGTTTAGACGTTTAGACGTTAAGACGTTAAGACGTTTAGACGTTAAGACGTTTAGACGTTTAGACGTGAAGACGTTTAGACGTTTAGACGTTAAGACGTTAAGACGTTTAGACGTTAAGACGTTAAGACGTTTAGACGTTAAGACGTTTAGACGTTTAGACGTTAAGACGTTTAGACGTTTAGACGTTAAGACGTTTAGACGTTTAGACGTTAAGACGTTTAGACGTTTAGACGTTTAGACGTTTAGACGTTTAGACGTGAAGACGTGAAGACGTTTAGACGTTTAGACGTTTAGACGTTTAGACGTGAAGACGTGAAGACGTTTAGACGTTTAGACGTTTAGACGTTAAGACGTTTAGACGTTTAGACGTTAAGACGTTTAGACGTTTAGACGTTAAGACGTTTAGACGTTTAGACGTTTAGACGTTTAGACGTGAAGACGTGAAGACGTTTAGACGTTTAGACGTTTAGACGTTTAGACGTTAAGACGTTTAGACGTTTAGACGTTTAGACGTTTAGACGTGAAGATGTGAAGATGTGAAGATGTTTAGATGTTAAGATGTTTAGATGTTTAGATGTTTAGATGTTAAGATGTGAAGATGTTTAGATGTTAAGATGTTTAGATGTTAAGATGTTTAGATGTTAAGATGTTTAGATGTTTAGATGTTTAGATGTTAAGATGTGAAGATGTTTAGATGTTTAGATGTGAAGATGTGAAGATGTTTAGATGTTTAGATGTTTAGATGTGAAGATGTTTAGATGTTTAGATGTGAAGATGTTTAGATGTTTAGATGTGAAGATGTTTAGATGTTTAGATGTTTAGATGTTAAGATGTTTAGATGTTTAGATGTTTACATGTGAAGATGTTTAGATGTTTAGATGTTTAGATGTTAAGATGTTTAGATGTTTAGATGTTTAGATGTTAAGATGTTAAGATGTTAAGATGTGAAGATGTTTAGATGTGAAGATGTTTAGATGTTTAGATGTTTAGATGTGAAGATGTTTAGATGTTTAGATGTGAAGATGTTTAGATGTTTAGATGTTTAGATGTTAAGATGTTTAGATGTTTAGATGTTTAGATGTTAAGATGTTAAGATGTGAAGATGTTTAGATGTTTAGATGTGAAGATGTTTAGATGTTTAGATGTGAAGATGTTTAGATGTTTAGATGTTTAGATGTTTAGATGTTAAGATGTTTAGATGTTTAGATGTTTAGATGTTTAGATGTTAAGATGTTTAGATGTTTAGATGTTTAGATGTGAAGATGTTTAGATGTTTAGATGTGAAGATGTTTAGATGTTTAGATGTTTAGATGTTTAGATGTTTAGATGTTAAGATGTTTAGATGTTTAGATGTTTAGATGTTTAGATGTTTAGATGTGAAGATGTTTAGATGTTTAGATGTGAAGATGTTTAGATGTTTAGATGTGAAGATGTTTAGATGTTTAGATGTTTAGATGTTAAGATGTTTAGATGTTTAGATGTTAAGATGTTTAGATGTTTAGATGTTAAGATGTTTAGATGTTTAGATGTTAAGATGTTAAGATGTTAAGATGTTTAGATGTTTAGATGTTAAGATGTTTAGATGTTAAGATGTTTAGATGTTTAGATGTTTAGATGTTAAGATGTTTAGATGTGAAGATGTTTAGATGTTTAGATGTTTAGATGTTTAGATGTTTAGATGTTTAGATGTTTAGATGTTTAGATGTTTAGATGTTAAGATGTTTAGATGTGAAGATGTTTAGATGTGAAGATGTTTAGATGTTTAGATGTTTAGATGTTTAGATGTTTAGATGTTTAGATGTTTAGATGTTAAGATGTTTAGATGTTTAGATGTTTAGATGTTTAGATGTTTAGATGTGAAGATGTTTAGATGTTTAGATGTGAAGATGTTTAGATGTTTAGATGTGAAGATGTTTAGATGTTTAGATGTTTAGATGTTAAGATGTTTAGATGTTTAGATGTTTAGATGTTTAGATGTTTAGATGTTTAGATGTTAAGATGTTAAGATGTTTAGATGTTTAGATGTTTAGATGTTTAGATGTTTAGATGTTTAGATGTTTACTTACCGGGTAAGAAACGCGTTAAACCGTTTAGCTAGCTTACAGCTCCGACCTGTTGGCTAACCGTTGGTGCTAACGATCAGAAACAGAATGATTATAAACACTAAACTCCTTCTTACTGACTCCTAAACATCATCATTCAAACACAGACTCTTCCATTATAAAGCAAACAGTGGACGGAGATGTTATTCTGGACTAAAAGCTGAATAATAGGAGCTGAATTTGAGCGTTTATTTTCCATCACAACAAACATCGGCAGAGGTACACGGATAACTACTTCCGGGTTGGAATGCAAAGTCCGTCTATTAGAAAGATGATCACTCTGTTGTGTAAAAGACGCTCTTTCAATTTAATGCAGTAAGCTTTATTGGCATGTGACAATATTGGCAAATTATACAAAAACAAAGAATACAATAATAATATAACAGTCATCATTAATAATTCAATTGTAACAATAATAATTATCAATAATTATATTAAAACAAGAGTAATCTAGTACAAAACCTCAAGAGATTAAATAAAAAAGTGGAATTTATTGTTTTAAAGTACTAGTGAGTGTGTGTGTGTTTAACATTGGTGTTATGTGTGTTTGTGCCTTTTGTGTGTAGATTGGTTTAGTGTGTTTGTGTGCGTATGTGTGTGAAGATGTGTAGGGCCTTGTGTGTGTGTGTGTGTGTGTGTGTGTGTGTGTGTGTGTGTGTGTGTTTGTGTGAGTATTTAGGGCCTTCTGTGTGTTTGACAATTTTTTTTTTCTTCTAGCAGATACGTGTGGTGTATGTTCAAACTCAGGGTTTACATGTGTTATCTGGGGGAAGTATTCCTCTCTCACAGTCTGGTATTTTGGCCTCGATGTGAGGAGGTGGAGCTCCGTCTCTACCTGTAAGGTGTCACACTGAGCGCACTGAGTCTGTCCTCCTCCGGGAGCCAGCTCTATTTGTAACGACCAGTCTCTACTCCCTGAGTACGAACATCGTCAGGATTTTTCTTAGTGTAAGAATAATAAGATAAATATCAACAAGAAAAAACTAAATAACATTAAAAAGGCAGACAAGAAAAACATCATGTATGAAAAGTTTGATCTTTTGTAGAAACGTGAGAATATCCCTCAAAGGTAAACAGACGATGGTAAAGGGTTTTTTTATCTTCAAGTAAAAGACGAGGAGCATCGATATGAACGTGCTCATTTTCAATAACTGGATCTAATCCATGAGGTCGCTGAGTGAGGGACCGAGTAGAAAGATCTCAGACGGAGGCGTCCTGTCATCTTCGGCCTCACGTTAAGTTGGATTGAGACCCAGTAGCTGCAACAAAGTAAAATAAGAGTAAACCCAGGGTCTGGAAATTCCTTGAGTTTTCTCCAGACCCCCAGCCTCCAACGCAAGCCCCCGTTTAAAGGCCAACTGCTGCTCCAACAGCGCCATCTGTCTGCAGGGAGGACAGATGGAGCGAGACAAGAGAGAAAGAGATGAACGGTGTTATGAATATGTCTTTAATTCTTCCTTTCTTAAACATTGTTTGAGCAACTCTTCTTTAGACATTCAAATACAAAGGAATATGAAAAGTATTGAATGTAATTATGTCAGGTATAGAATATGTGTTTCTAACATCCAGAGTTTATACCTGGCTAGCAGCTCGGCCTGCAGCTTGGCGTCCTCTGCAGCCTGTAGAGCTGCCTCCTCCTCTCTTCTCCTCCGCTCCTCTTCGTTCTTCCTCCTCTCCTCCTCCTCCTGCTCCTTCCTGCTGAGGTACTCCACCCTCTCATTCTCATCCATCTCCTGTAACTTCCTGTTCTCCTCCTCCTGCCTCGTCTCCTCTTCCTGTCGCAGACGCTCAAGTTCAGCTGAGGGAGAAAGAATGTAAATTGAAGGATATTGAAATACATTTTCTGATCATAATGATGAATCTGCAGAGGATCTGAATACACAGATGATTGTTCTTTTTTCTTTTTAACCCTCTGACTCCTCTACCTTCCCTCCTCCTCCTCACCTCTCCTCCTCTGTTCCTCCTCCTCTCTCATCTTCTGGAGTCTCTCCATCTGACGCATCTTCTCCTCCTGCCTCCTTCTCTCTCTTTCTCTTTGCTCCTGTTCCCGTCTCTCTCGAGCCTGCTCCTCTTCCTCCTGCTTCCTCCTCTTCTCCTCCTCCGCCATCCTCTTCAATCTGGAGGTTGGAGATTAAATATGAATGGAATCAGCCGAGTTCTGCTTCAAGTAATCGCCTGACATTGACATTATTGGTCCATGAAGTTACTGTTTAAATTATTTCAAGCTGAATATTTGTCTTTCTGCAAATATGGTTGTAATTAATAGATGGATAATAGATTAATAGCATGTTTTCCCAATGACTACATCTTAAACCCGACGAGCCCGGGATTAATACTTTTATTTGAAGACACACCTGAACCATCTTAAACCTTCAGAGGTAAAACTAAAGTCACAACCTGAGCTCCTCAGCTCTCCTCCTTCTCTCCTCCTCCAGCTCGCTCTTCATCCTGTCCTCTGTCTGCTCCCTCTCCTGCTGCCTCCTCGCCTCTTCCTCCCGCTCCCTCCTCTTCCTCTCCACCTCCCGCCTCCGTTTTTCTGCCTGCTGGGTGAGACGCAGCGCTGCCGCCTCCTCTTCCTCCTCTCTCTGACTCTTTCTCGGCTTGGACGCCTTTCACACACAAATAAACACACACAGAGTCAGAATGTGCACAATGAGTTGAATCAGAGGTCGTTGCATGGACTGTTTTTGTGTTTTTAACTTTGCTTGGTGACCCAGAGGGATGGTGTAGTTCAATAACTTTAATTAACCGACTGAAAATAAACATCTGGTGTTACCGGAATAATTATCAATATATTAAAATTTGATTTGAAAAAATGTTTAAAGTCCTGTACTTCCTGTTTTGTTCTTCCTACTCACCTCTGGTTTCGCCGGGTTCAGCATCAGCTGTTCCTCAGTTACCATGACAGTTGAACATGACGAGAGGCGACCATGTGATGAAGTGAGACCCAGGGCGCTGGCTGGCCCCGCCCCCTCACAGGAGGATGCAACAGACCGCCTGGAGCTCTTCAGAGTGGACTGTGATGCAGCTGCAGTCGACCTGAGCGAGCTCACCGAGCGCACGCTGGCGAGTTTGTCAGCGTCTGTGTAAAGACGGTCGGTTTCTGCAGCGTCTCCCTCTGAGTTTGTTCTGTTCTTGTGGTTTTGTGCTGCAGAGGGATTTGTTGGGGATGCCGGATGAGACTCTTCTTTCAGTTCTTGGTGTGTCTCCGCCTCCTGATTCTCCAGGGAGTCCTCTGGGCTTCCTATGACATTAATAACACAGGACAGGATTGCAGAAGAAACACTACTAAAACATGAAAACTACTTTTTCAACAAGTCTGACAATATTTGATCTTAATACTTTACTGTTGATGAATTTCATGTTTTTGCAGCATCTTACCCAAAACTAAGTCTTTGTGTTTCAGCCTTCTTCTTCTTCTCTTCCCAGCAGACTCTTGCCTCCTCCTCACCTCTTCTCCTCGCCCCTCTCTCTCCTCGTTCTCCTGCCCTTCTCCTCTCGTTCCTTTCACGTCTGTCATCTTGATTTACAGACGAGGACAGGAAAGCACTTGTAAACTTTATGCCATGATTTATACATTCATGTGTTGCAAACGTTTTGGTGTGATGGGATTCAGAAGCCACAGCCGCAGCGCCCTGCATAATAAAATACCACGAGTACATCAGTCATTTTAATATAACTCACATGAGGAGGGCGAGCAGACGGGGCTTTAGTCTCTGCTGCTCCTCTGAGGGTCCTCTCCTCTCGTCTCCTGCTGACGACTGATGGAGCATCTCTTCCTGTCTTTTCTTTTCCTGATCTTCCTTCTCTCCTCATCCTCGAAGCCTTCTTCCCTCCATCTGATTCCTCACTTTTCCCCGTTTTCTTATCACTTCTTCAAAATAAACGGATGACATTATTGTCAGTTTAAGTGTGTGTAATGTTTCTGAACTGAAGAGTTTGAGAGTATTCCTCGCTCACCTTGTGGTTACTGCAGCTCCCTCAGCACTCTTCTTCAAAGCGTCCTCTGATGTTGCTTCGATCGGGTCGATGTTCTGCTGCCTGCATGAAACATCATCTTTTAACTGCAGCTTCTCTTTGGAAAAATGTAAAAAATCTCCTTTTTTTTAGTGTCTGCAGACAAATATTATTTTATAGAAGTTTATTTTGAAGTCTTTATTTGTGATTTTTCACCCTTAAATATATAAATCAAGTATCTCCTCTGAAAATAACTCTGTGAGTCATGACTGTCTACAATGGGTGTAACACCCGAGTCCCACTGTCTGTGATGTTTTCAGAGTTTTCAGAGTCCTATCTTCACTTTGTTTACATCGCCAGGACGGCCGGCTGACTCCTCCCCTCGTGTATAAAAGTTGTTTAATTGAGGGACTAGAGAAAAGAAGAATAACATACTGTACTCACTGCTTAACTGTGTTTCTAGATCACGCTCATTTCAGGTAAATTTACATGCAGTGTGAAGATACCAGCATAATAAAGATCACTAGCATTAGCATGCTAACACAACAATGCAGCGCAAGTTGTTTTGGTTTCATGCTGGTGCTCAAGGGCGACATCTGCTGGATCAAAAAAAATCACATATAAAGCCTTTAAAGAAGAGTGTGTTGGTGCAAAAGAAGAAAGGCAGAGAAAGCTTTTAGATAAAGAGAATTAAACATGCATTCTTCTTATGATTAACGAATAAGTTGTGAATGAAACCAACCCCGGCTGCTGCAATCCCTCGTCTTCATCCTCATCTTCAGCATCACCTCCTCTCTCTGTACTAACAACCCTCTCCCTCAATGGAGGCATCCTAACATTGTTTCTGGCACCCTTTAATCCTGACTTCCACGTGTCCACTGCTGCCTCGGCACTCTTTGTTTTCTTCCTGGTCTGAGCCACTGAAGGGACAAACACATGTGATTTGTATTTAAATCCTGATTACAGTCGCATAAGCAGCTTCACTCAGGAGCCTTACCTGAGTCTGTGAGGCTGCTGGGGGGAAAGACGTCCGCTGATCTGTGAATATCTGAGAGCTGCTTTGAGAAAAGACAACCTGACAGATACGAGGAAAGCTTGATCTCTAATGATACATTTCAATGATGGCTTCTTGGTTTTGTTTCATTTGTTCCTGATCAGACTGAGGATCATCTGCATGATGACAAAGAGTGAACTGATTTACCTGAGGAATGGACTGATGGAGCGGGACATGTTCATCAGGAAGGTGTGTGTTCTGCTCCGACCCTCCTGCACACAAACACGATGAACAGTAAACGACACAGAGGGAGGCACAGGAAGCTGGGTTTGTATATCCTGGGAGGAGCAATGGGCCCAGGTGCTCCAGATGTAGCAGGATGAGATGACAGAGGAAGGACATGTGTGTGTGTGTGTGTGTGTGTGTGTGTGTGTGTGTGTGTGTGTGTACAGACCTGTATCTGTATTCTCAGGCTGCAGCATAATGACCCAGGGTAACTTCTCCCCTTCTGGAGACAAAACCTGGAGAGCTAAGAAGCAGAGAGTGAGTTACTGACACGGGGACGATGCTGTTTCTTGAGGGTGGATGTTCGTACTTAAACGCTTGTACCTTGCTCCCTTGTTTCGCCGTCACTAGCAGTTTGGTCCTGGCTGTTATCGTACAGAGAGAGTCGAAGGATCTCCCCATCAGGACCAACAATCAGACAGCCAACAGATCGGCCGTTCTTCAAATCTGGAAGGAAAAAAATACAATTACAGCAAAACAGAAGAGAAATTAAAACAAATAATTTGTGACGTTTCAAGTCACCTTGCATCAAACACATGCAGTAGATACAGTTCTTTCTATTGGAATCACTTAAAGCTTAGTCAAAATAAAGGGAAGTGTATGTTCAGTGGTCCCGCCTCCTCATACCTCTCAGCTCCAGAGGCAGAACGCCTCTCACCACCCCTCTGTTGTCATCGTCGGGTGCTCCGGAGTCCTGGAGGTCGAGAAGCTGGTTCTGTAAGAAGGCCAAAGATGTCTGCTTACCTGGACCTTTCCTTCCTGCAACACAACCCAACACTCCTGCAGGAGGAGGCTCTGCAGGAGGTGACACATCAGAGGAGAAGGCAGTGCAAACAAACAAGAAGATTACAAAGAACCACAAATATCTGGAGAGGAAGTATTTTGTTCATCTTCGGGGCGGGACATTGGGTAAGAAGATATAAAACATAAACTACCAAACAGACTCTGAATAGATCATTTTATATAATGTACCTGCTCCAGGGGCCAATAATATCACAGAGCCTCTCTCAGAGGGCAGTCTTCCTCCTCCCTCTCCTCTTCCTCCTCCTCCTCCTCCTCCTCCATGTCCGACTGTCTCCTTTCTTAAGTAGTGTCTCTGTGATATTTCACCTCCTCCAGACTTTTTCTTTCCACTTAATTCTTCTGCAGGACAGACGAGACAAAAGTCAAAATATTAAGAAAATCAGATCTTTGGCAACAAGGTGTTGGCTAATAAATGAATGACCGTCCTGATTACGAACCAAGTTTCCGACATCCCCTGTTAAAAAAGGATTTGTATACGGCCTCTGACTTTCAGTCTAGACCGCCTTTCTTCACAAAAAACTTTGTTTGTAATCAGGACAGTCATTCATCTTTATCTTTAACGATCAACTGCTGTGACGCTAAAGATTCTTGAATTGAATCTGTGTGTGTGTGTGTGTGTGTGTGTGTGTGTGTGTGTGTGTGTGTGTGTGTGTGTGTGTTGTTGTTGTTACCATGAACCAGCTGAGGAAGGCTGAGAGGCTGCTGATGGAGTCTTT